TCCCTCCCTTCCCACTGTGGTTATAGTAACACTGCACCGCATTGTAAATCACACTCTCAGCATTGGCCTTGACTGCAAAATAAGCAGAGTTGTGCAGAAGGACTGTCGCAAGCCTCCCCCTCTATGCCACAGCCTTGCTCACCTACCAGCACAATACCGGCTCTTATATTGGCCATTTTTGCAAATTCTGTGAAGTCAAATATCAGCAATACGTCATTCCAAAGTGATTTTATTTTGCATTGATGCAGTAAGATGCTGCCTTGAATGATTTATGGAGATTTGGGCCCTAATTTCCTTCTTTATTTCATGCTGGCGATTCTGTAGGATGTTACGGCGTTAGCTGCCCTGGAGATCCTTAGAGAGGGAAATGCGGTGGGGGGATTGAAATAGCCTCAAATAGATCCACTTGCATTTCTGGACTGATAACAAGGGGTATGTGTGCATTTCCATTAGCAGGACAATCTTGAATCATCCTGCAGGAAAGAGCCTCTTACGCCACCTTATTGAAGCTTCTGCTCAAGTATAATCTTATTGCTGCTTGTCTTCTTAACTGAGAGTTCTCTTTGCATTGACAGTTTTTGCATTTTATTTTCCGAGTTATATATTGTATTGCTTTGTTTTCTTGGTTTTATATGGCTTTAATGAATTGTGTTGGTTGTTGTCATTTTAAATTGTTTTGGATGTTTTATTGTAAGCCACCCCATTCCTAAAGTCCTGCAATTTCCATGACCCCAACATCCATGCATGAGCTAATATCTATCTATAGCAGCCTTCCTCAACCTGATACCTCCCAGGTGTGTTGGGACAACCCCCAGCATTCCTTAGCCAATACACAGGCTGGCTTGGGGTGCTGGTGGTTACGAGTCTGCAAGTCTGCGTGTAAGGAGAACAAGAAGTTGGGGAGAGCATACTCATGCATACAAGTGGCCCATTTTGTTAACAGGCCAAAGGAATATAGAAGCAGTTGTGAAGCTTAGAAAGGCAGCTGAGAGTGGAGCACTGTTTGCTGTATGCTTCACAACTGATGTAATTGTGATAGAGAAGACCACTTAAACCCCCTTCCCCCTGAAAATGAGGGAAGAGCCAGTGTGGAGTAGTGGTTAAGAGCATGGGATTGGGACTCAGACTATCTGGGTTCTAGTCCCCGCTCAGCCATGGAGCCAACTGGGTGACTTTGGGCCAGTCACAGACTCTCAGTCCAACCTACCTCACAGGGTTGTTGTTGTGGGGATAAGATGGAGAATGATGTAAGCTGCCTTGAGCCCTTTGTAGGAAAAAAGGCAGGATATAAATCAAAAAATAAAATAAAAAATCCATTAAGTCCAGAGTCTAAAATTATACAAGAATGGTAGCTATGGCTACTTAGGACTGAATACACAGAATGAGTTTGCTACTAGTATATATGATACATCATTCCTCGCTATTCCTATTCTGGGTGAAACCTTGTTCACACAACTTGAAAATGATTCCTTTATTTTATGTATGTGTCTTCCACTCACTGGGTACCTACCTTCTCCAGGAGAGATCATAGAGAAAAAAAAGAGTCACTTTTGTGATGGCTCCTAAGCATGTTATAGGTTCCTTATGTTCACAGATGTAGAGTTGTTTCTATGTGAGGAATTAATAGACAATTTGAAGTGGTGCTCTTACATTCCTTGGTCCTTTTGCCTTTGTCCCCCATCTTACACAATAATGATTTCAACATGATGGCACTTTATAAAATATTTTTATTCCCATGATAATGGGCTCGGGTCATTGGAGCACTGAAGAATCAAACTGTAATGATGAGGCAGAGATTTGGCAGAATTTATTTTCTATTGTCAATAACATTTCCCCCCCACCCCAAATGAAACAACAAAACAACTTCAAACTGGAGAAAAAATCTGAGCGGTGCAAATATAAGGCTGGGGTAGGGCTGCTTCATTATTTGAAAACTCAGTAGCACATTCTTTAAAATGCCTCCTCCCCCTTGGTTTTCCAGAACCACCTGTCACAAGGGTTTTCATAAAATCATCTGCTTCAGAGGATTCACATTTGGCCAAGGAATATCACTCCAAGGGACAATGCAGAGAATAAATAAAACAAAATGCTTTCTCTTAAAAGAACTTGATCAATGGCAGAGACACTTTTCTCATTGTTCAAATCTTGTTTGCAATCTTTTTGCCTGCTGGTAAGTAACAAACCCTCTCCCCTTCAATTCTCGCCCAGCAGTAATGGGTCCTTTTGGAGAATACATGAATTTGCAAATCTGTATTTCCACTGAAGTTCCAGGTAGCAGAAGAAAGACACATGAAATCCACTACAGAGACAAACTTACACTAACTAGATCTAGTAATGACCTTCATTTTGAGATGACAAAAAGGAAAAAAGCTGGTTTGAGCCTAAGGAATTAATATATTCTGTTCCTGTCTCCAGGGTCATTATGCTTCTTCACTCAAATGGTCAAAGGACTGCAAAGGTTCGCAAATCAACATTTTAAAAACAAGCACAATTTTGAGCTGTGGTGTCTGATATAAAGAATGTCCATTAAAGTGCTGTGGATTTGCAAGGTTTTGGAATAAAGGGTAGCAGCTTAAAAAAAGGAATCAAAGATACCAGGCAACCTTAAGAGATCACCAAAAAAAATAAAAAATAAAAATAAAATCACACGACAGGACCAAAAACATTGAGTGATGCATGTGGGAAGTACTATTTTGTAGCATTGTACAAGGACAAGAAAGATATCAGGTTCACCAGCCTTCTAACTACAGGGGTGGGATCTACCACGCATCAGCCATACCCAATCACCGTAGCATTTGGCACCTCCAAGGGTAGAAAGCTGTATGTGTCTGGTTTCCAACTTGCATTTTCATATTAGCAACTCATGCCTGTACACTGCAAGTGTTCTTTAATTTATACTGCTCATGTTAGATGTATTATGTAGACTAGATTATATGTCACATCAACCTCCTTTCTCCCACCCTAGCTGAGTATGTCCAGCTCTCTACAGCTTTACTGGAGAAAAGTTTGCATCCTAAGGCTTGAGGGGCTGATCTAAGGCCATGTATAATTTTTTTGTTTTTCTACCTGGCACTGAAGTTCTCAGTTTCTTCATTTGAAGAATGTTACATTCAAGCAGAGGACAGCAGTGCTGTTTTAATGGAGACTGAGGCATTCAATATATAAGCGACAGGCACGGGATGCACAGACAGAGGATGGTGCCCTGTTAGTCACAGACTTCCTTGGCGACCTTATGCAACAAAGAAGATGGACGTCACTAAACACACGCACACACACAAGCACAGCTCTAGACCCCATTAGAAGAAGGTGGAGCACGGTAACCAGTCTAAAATGCTGTGGGGCAGGAGGCAATCAAACTCCAGAGGTGCATGGTATCCAGAATTCAAGCTCAGTTACACGCTGTTCAGCTATGATACTTGGATAATTCTTTAAAAGGGAGGTCTTTGGGAATAAAGACAGAAGGCGAATTTTGGCACAAGTGTGGAGCCCACAAAGTGGGTTTGGATAAGGCAGGACCTACTTAGGGTACTGCTGACATTTGTAGAAGCAAATGGCTACTACTTTTCCATTAGGGTTTGTAGAGAGACAAAGTGCTCTAGGCTGAAGTCCACCTATAGTCCCTGCAGGTCCAGTTGGTCCTTAGGCCTGCACAAGATGAATCAAGGGTTGCAGATCAAGGACTACAGATAATAGCTCCATGGCCAACCTAATCCAGTGCACCTTCCACTTCTGTCCACTGCAGCCCTGTATTTCTTGCTGCATCTACAACTCATGCTTACCAGAAGTGCTACTGGGACGACCTTTACACATAATCAAGATCATCTTACTTCACAAGACAAAGGTAATTCATACTGGAGAGGGAAATGCCCAGAAAGGAAGAGACAGCAGTCGGATGGGCCAAATTCAAGCTTCCTACTGTAAGAGAAAGCACCTCTTGCAGCAAAGGTAGCAGGAAGCCATGAATGAATGTGTCCCTCTGCAGTTTCCGAAGAGTGGGAGTGCCTTCCTGCCTTTCATCTGCCCAGCTCCCCAGACCAAGCCATCACACATGCTGGAAAGGGGTTTTCAGAATCAGTGTTAAGAGCAAAACAGCACATTACAGGCACATCTCAAGGAGACGTTCCAAACCTTCTTCCCTGCCAGGCATGGCACGCATGACACACATGCATACACGCTGAAAGGGGGCCCAAGATCTGTCCAGGAGGTGGAATACATCCAAAAGGGTCATGAGCTGAGGCACTGGAGGATGAGTAGGGCAGAAGGGCTTCAGGTGGCTGGGGGTGGACTTCTATTGTAGGCACTGGAGAAGATCATGCAATGAGCAGATCCTGTAACAGAAAACGGGGAGTTGGCTTTTGCCCCCACATCCCCAGTGGTTGGGCTGGTACAGCACCATGAGACAGGCTAAGGAAGAGATCTAGTACAGCAGAAATTTATAGAGGGGGGGCATGTTCACCTGGGGGCTGTTTGGCCTTGGATGGGGGGGCCAGGCAGGAAGGATCTAAGAGGGACAGTACGTGGTCATCTGTCCATTACAGCTATTGGCTAAGTGTTCAGGGTGACCCTAGGCACCAATGGAGACTGCCCCCCCTCTCCAGGTCTGCAGGGGAAAGCCCCCTCTGCAAGAGTGGAAAGAGGCTTGTAAGGTATATGTGATTATCCATGACCTTGTGGGAAAAGCCCAGGCAGTGCTGGCTGGCAGGACAAGGGCATTCATAGAGATTGTTGGCACAAATGGCAAGGCTGAGGGGGATGGAGGGTGTCCCCAAAGAAGAATGGCAAGGAAGGGAGCTCACGCACAGGCCTAGCCGGTGGAGGTGTGGCTTTTGGGATGGAAATACTACGCCCACTCACAGCCGCCTTGCGGGGCGACTGCCAGGCCTCCTGTGGACCACCGCATCTACCCTCAGGTGCTACACAGCCGAAGCCAGTGCCTGCCCCCAGGGGTGGAGTGGGAAGAGGCCTCTCCCTCAGCAGAGAAAAGCCCTGCCCTCAGGGCCTCAGCGGATGTAGGCATCACGGCCCCAGTCCTCCATGTCATTATGGTTGTGGCCCAGGGCTTCCTCCTCGTTGGGGCCATACTGCTCCCGCCCCTTGGCACGCCCACGCAGAGGCCGGTTGTTTGGTCGGTCGGGCTCCTCGCCCTCCCAGGAGCCCTGGCTCTGGGGGCGGGAGTGGCGGTGGCCCCGGCACTGGGCGCGATGAAGCACGGGCTCCTCGGCCTCCCAGGAGCCCTGGCACTGCAGCGGGCGGTGGCCCAGGCATTGCGGGTGACGAGGCTCGGGCTCCTCGTAGGGGTCGGTCTCGATGTCCATGCAGGAATCCGCTGGATCGGTGTAAGCAGAATCGCGGCCGCCCTGCATCTCCGAATCAAAGGTGTCCTGGCGGGAAAGGCCCCGGGCAGCAAAGTGCGAGGGCGGCTGCAGGGAGCAGATCTGGCTGCGCCCAGCCGGCCGCCCCGCGTAGTCGTGCAGGCCGGCACGCTCGGCGTCGTGAGGCTCCTCCCCATGCACTAAGTAGGGTCCCTGATGGAAAGAGGCATTCACCGCACACCATGCATAAGGGGGAAAGAGAAGAGACAACATGAGGGTCAGTGCAGCCCCAGCATAACAGCAATCGTGCCTGGAAACCAAGCATGTTAGGACACGTTCTCATGGTCTGGACTGGTAAACCTCTCTAAGCTGGAAAAAATCATTCCATTTCCACACACACTTCCATCTGCCCAGCAACACTAAGGCAATAAAAGCAGCAGAGAGTGTAGTGACACCTTAAGAGTAGCAAATTTATTATGTCATAACATTCATGGGCCTTTTTCATCAGAGGCATGAAATGGACCATAGTCCACAAAAGCTTATGCCCAAATGGATGAATTAGTCTTTAAGTGCCATATGACTCTTTGTTGCTTTTGTGGCCACAAACAACATGGCAACCTCCCTGAAAACTGTTTCTGCAGAGTGATTCTTCTTACTTGCCCTCTTAAACAGTTTGAAACAGTTTAAAACAACAATTTATATCCCGGAGAGAAGCCAAAGGACTGTGCAAGATATTTTTGAGATGAAATTGCGAAGGAGCGCATGGGGGCAGCTTGAGATAGTGTCCTGGCATGTCATTTGAATATGGCTTTGTACAGACTACAATGTATGTGACAAAAAAAGGGTGGGGTATTTGTATGCTGTTGGACTTCAGCCCCATCCAGTACGGCCAACAGCCCTGTGACCAAACAGTGGTGGGAAACTGCAGCCCTCAGCCTACTTTCAGTCTCTCTGCAGGTGATCAGTTCAGATCTCTGGCCAGGCTGACTAGCCCCTTCCCTGGCAGCCCACTGTGCTGGAAAAGAAGTACAGCGCCCAACAGGTGTTCAACCCTGCAATTATCTTCACTTCAGAGGTGGCAGCACATCTAACCCTCAGTATCGGTCTCACCCTGTTCCTTCACTCTTGGGTGGCAGGCAGCTCCTGGCACAGTTGGGATAAATGCAGTCAGGCAAGGAAAATGAGGCTTTCCCACTGTGACTGCTTGCATCATTCGAGAGGTTCACCATCCTGCTTGAGAACCCATTAGTACAACGCCAGAGCACACTGTTAGCATCACACAGAAGGCATCCCATCCACCTGTGTTGACTGCAGGACCACGTGGATTCTGGGGGAGCTCCCACATTGTACTACTGGTGTAGGAAACCAGCACCCTCAGCCATCCAAAGTCTGCTGCTTCTCATCAGATCAGGCAATAAAACTGCACTGCAGCTGGGTGCAGAGGCGTAAAGGTTGCCATGAGCAAAGTCCACTGGGTTGGCTTCACTCATTACCTCAGGATCCACACATGGCTTTAAAAATCAACAGACATGTGATTCTCCCTACCATACACTCCAAGATGCATTTGAAGCATGTTCAAATCTGTGTCTGGACAAATGACAGAGATCAGTCCACCTTCAAAGGGACTCTGCCATATTCAATGTAGGTCTGCTCTGCGTCAATTCAAGCTTTCCGTTCAAATGAGATGAACTTGATGGGCTCCGTTCCTCGGTTTAGCTTGTTGTGGTTGGCAATTGGTCTGGGAGTCAGCCTGGCCTTTGGGTTGCAGTGGAAGCGCATCACCAAAGAGGAGGGCACAGCACAAGAGGACACTGAACCCTGCTGAGTCACCCTGTCACGATTATTTTGTCAGCTGACCCTTAGTGCTAGGAAACAGAAGGCACTGCCACTATTTTGACATTTTGTCTTCTATGGTACGAAAAAAATGATAGAAAATGTTGTAGGAAAGCAAGGGAAGGTTACACGTGAAAGATGGCATTGTCTATGTACCCTGCCCCCCACAGAATTCATGGCTGAGACAGGGTGACGGCACAGTGCAAACCACATCTGGTCGGACCCTGAGTGAGTGCTGAGAATCCAGAGGAAGAGGTTGCCTTCAGAAGGCCCAGCAAATGATGGGTTTTGCTGCACATCTGGAGGGGGTGCACAAAGCCCTTCCAGATTCCTTTAGGTAGCCAAGATCTACTGAATTCCTGCCATTTTATGACAGGGTGATCCTGCATGGAGGTTAGGGTGGGAAGAAGTTGCCTAAATTCGCCCTGTTTATGAAAAGAATAGAAAATAAGGATTATGCCCAGATCAAAGTTACTACCCATGGGCCTCTCTGCAACACAACGGACCAGCCCCTGTATTCACATACACACATTTGCAGGGAAGTCCGTGAGTAGATGGAGGAAAGCTGTTGCTCCTTATGGAAGGTCTGATTGAAATAGCCAACAGGACCTGCCCTAAGTTATGGACCCACCATTCATAGATCTGCGACTTCTCTCATGTCCCAGGAAGCATCCCTTGAAGGACAAAGGCAATGGGCAGAGAGACAGACAGGTGATGTGGTGAACTCGTCCTTTCAGCAAGATCAGCCCGAGCTGAGGTGGGAAGGGGCACTCTTAGGCAGTTCCTCCAAGAAAGGTAAGGCGGTAGGGAGAAGAGGGGGGTGACCTTTACTGAACAGCAGCACCAACAAGTCATTTGTGGGAAAAGAGAAGCCTCATCAGCTGGGCTGCCCTGTGCTGAATTCTTCTTTCTGGAGAAACAGCTTGCATTTTTCGGAGAGCTACAACTCGTGCTCCTCTACCTGAACAGCTCCACTCAGCCCCTGGTCCAGGCTGCCCCTCCCAGCCCAGAACCCCAGGTTGCGCTTGAGTGAGGTCAGCACTTGTACCTGGAGGTTGGAGACTGGGGCAGGGCTGGCAGCCAGGGCAGCAGTTGCCATAGTGCGGGTCAGCAGGGGATTGGGTGGGTTGCTGCTGGGAGGATGTGTGGCCTTCCAATAGGCTTCCAGGTACTCAGACAGGTGCTCGCATGCATCTTCCAACTGGTTTTCATCCAGGATGATGTCAAACATCTCCTGCAGGAAGAGAAACAGAGGATGGGAAGGACATGGCCCCATGAGTGAGAAGGTGAACAGAAAAATAGGGGCAAGGTACCAAGAGTAGAATAAGAAAACTAGGAAGTTGGATAATTTGCAAAGAGAGATGCCAGCGAATGGGCATTACTTCTTCTTCTTCTTCTTCTTCTTCTTCTTCTTATTATTATTATTATTATTATTATTATATTACTAGCGAATGGGAATCCCAAATGTAGCATCTATTTGGGATTAGTATTGGTGTAATTACTGCTTAGATCTAAAAGGAGGCGCATGGTGCCCAAAGGTACATTCCCAATTTTTCACCCCTTTGCAGCTAACTGGTATTGCTACTCCAAACAAGCAAGCAAAATGACCATCAATAGTATACCCAGTTTACACATTGTTAGAGATTTAAATGTTTAAATTAAAAATTCTTTAAACATTTAAACAGAATTGCCTATCTACACACAGAGAGAGATTTTTAAAATGTGAAGCATTATGGTATAAGATATCAGCTTTGGTCACATGACCTGTGTGCCTTGGGTGGCCCTGCACGGCATAGCTCATAGCTTCATTGAGCTACGCAAGCCCCTTCGCCATGACAAGGCAGTGATCCATGAAGGAGTTGGTCACAAATAGGAGTATGTTAAAATCTCACTTAAAAACTGAACCAGAACCAATCGGAACAAAGAACAGGAATTTTTAATTTAAATCTATGAAACCTCTTTAAAATATTAAACATTACACCTACAAACAATGATCACTTACCACTATTGGTGGTAATTCTGCTTCTTTGGAGTACTGTGGCATGCGCCTTGCCTGCATAGCAGTTGATTTGATAATACTACTGTGTAGCACTAACAATGCCCCTCCAGGCTAAGTCAAAGCAGAGCAAAAGTTTTGGCAGAACCATTCTGCGCTCCCCAAGGTAGATGGCAAAAGGGAAGGCTCAGAAGGAGGATGTGTCCAGGTGCCAGCTAGACCTGGAAATCTGGACGCAGGAGTGAGGACAAGTCATCTGGAAAGATGCACATAAGTACTGTGGTTGGTAGTGAGGGCAGGGCAGTGTGATGCTGATAGCAGTGGGAAAAGCAACACAAAGAGCATGATTGTGAGTGTCAGTGCCGCAGGACAGAGAGCAGTGCCCAGGGAGGGAGGGAGGGAGGCCAAGAACAGAACCCGGACGTCAGGAAGCAGTGCCACTCACTGGGGGGCACTGGGCCAGCTTGTCTGATGCCACCATCTGCACATTCAAGTGCTTGGCCTGAGATTTTCCTCTAGATTTCACCAATCTCTGCAGCACCTGTTGGATAAAGAAATGGGGGAAAGGCATATCAGGGTCCAAAAGGGAGGTTCGAAACAGGAACAGAATAGTCTCAAAAGGAGCAGCATGCCTACTGCCCAAAGCTATATTCTGAGTTTTTTGCTCATCTGCAGCTAACATAACAAGGAAGATGCTTCAGAAGAGGAGATCCAAGCATATAGCCCCATCAAGTAAGCCTCAAGGGAGGCTTACTTACCTGGGCCTGTGTCTACCAGAACAAAGCGAGGATCAGCACGCACTCCATAATGCAGCAGTTTTGCAGGGAGAGCAGGGCACCTTTTGCTCGCACAAGGTGTGCTGGGCTCCTGCTCTTCTGAGCTACAATGATCTCAGGCTGAGAAAAATCCCTTCCTGTCTGAGGTCCTGAGGAGCCACTGCTAGCCAAAGCAGAAAGCACTGGGCAAGATGGGCTAATCACTAAGGATGGCACAAGGCACTGACTTATTTATGACTGATTTGGACATGGGAGAAAACCAGCCACAGCCCTTTGATTCCATGATGTGCTTGAAATGGCTGCTCATTCTCGAGACTTAAGGGCTCCACCTACAGTAGGCGTGAAAACACATTTAACCTTCATTTCAGAATAGGAACATGTTTACAGGAAGGAAAAGCACGGACATTTATTCAAAGCATCTGCAAGAAACTGCAATGTCTGAAGGGGTGTATCTGGAGCTTCTGGGTATCTGGGCCTTTGGTCTTTCTATACCACCATATGCCATATTATGGTCGGTCATCTTTTTTCATGACCAATGTCTCCCACATGCCTCACTCCTCTCTCGCACATCAATACCCAGACAAAATATTCAGGAGTGGAAATTGCAATGGCAAGCAGTTACAGAAAAGGAATGATTTCTGACAATTATCCAGATTTTGAATGATTTATCTGGACAATAGTATTAGTGGCTCTGAGTTGGGAGGCAGTCACGGATGCTCTGTTGGGCTGTGTTTGTGACCAAGTAGGAAGACACTGAAATATTTATTTTTATTAAACAAACAGAGCAGGTTGATCTTTATCTCTGGGAATCCTACATTATCCTAATTACTAAGTACCTCCCACCTGTCTGTCCCAGGAATGAGCAACCATGCGGCTTCTGATTGGAATCCTTTTTTTAAAAAAATCTAAAGTCTTAAAAATGTCTTAGGGTTTGTTTAAGATGGGTGGATGGGTGGCAGGAATAGTTTTAAAAATGTGACTATCAAAACAAGGAAAGAAGATACTTAATTGAAAGGAAGTATACAAAACATCTTGTTCATTATCTGTTTAACTGACTACTTTTATATCTTAATTTTCAAGTGGAAAATTAAATATTTTCGCCATTTGACAATAACTATTTCAGAATATAAGTTTTGCAGAGTAAATTGTTCCATAGAAGGATTCTCTTCAGTGAAAAGGCAAATGTTTTGCCTGCAAAAGTTTGCAGGTCTGGCCCTGCCAACTTCAGGCAAAGTTCTTTTCGGCAACGCTTTGCTGCCAGGCAGCGTCAGTAACATGGGCTAGATGAGCCAAATGTATTGTTACATTACATGTATGCCCTGCCTTTCTTCTTTTCACAAAGAATCCAAGGCAGCTTACAAGGTTCCCCTCCTCTCCATCTTATCCTCACAACCACATCCTTGTGAAGTAGGTTGGGCTGAGGATAAGTGAGCTAATTCACCCAGTGAGCTTCATGGCTGAGTGGGGACTAGAACGCAAATCTCCCCGGTCCCAGCCTAACACTCTCCTAATGGCATCATCCACAGTGTGGCATTTGTTTGGCGGTGGCGCCCAATCTATGGAATGCGCTCCCCAGAGAGGTCCGCCTGGCGCCGTCGTTATTTGTTTTTCGGCGCCAGGCGAAGACCTTTTTATTCAAACGTCATTTTAATTGCTAATATTATTTCCTTATTTTATTCTTTGGCCAGGGCGACTTATTTTATATTGTTAATTCATTTTATATTTTTAATGTATTATATTTTAATTGATGTTTTGTGAGCCGCCCCGAGGCTTTGGCGTATGGGGCGGCATAGAAATTTTCTAAATAAATAAATAAATAAATAAATAAACAAACAAATAAACAAACAAATAAATAAATAAATAAATAAATAAATATTTTCAAATCATATTAACTTCTTATGCATGCACACGAAAGCCTTCTGATGTAATGCACTCTAATGAGCTGCTCTTTGTAATTCTGGGGCTGGTACAGAAGCCTGCTAAGGGCTCCTGCCAGGCTTTCCCCACACCGGATGGAAGACAGTATGCCAAGAGTGATCAGGAGGAGGAAGAGAGGAGGCTGCTCACCTTGGGGGAAGATATCTTGATGTAGACAATGATTGGGGCCAGTGAGGTCTTGGAGAGTTGAGCCGGGTGGTTGATGGTATCGGCATCCAGGGCCACCAGCTGCAGTGTGCGGGCCAGCTCAAAGATGCGCTCTATCTCGCTCTGCACTTCCGCTACCAAGGCAAAGAGCAAGCAGCGGGGAAGGAGGAAACACGGTCAGCACTGCGACGGGGAGACACCACGCTGCTATCCCCACATCCATTCTGCTCTTCCAGAAGAGCCTTCCCCAGCCCTGTGCCCTTCAGATATGTTGGACCGCACCTCCCAGAATCAAGCCAGCCCACGAGGGATGATGGGGAACAGGGCCAGGCACATCTGCAGGCACCAGGCTGGGGAAACGCTTCTCAAAATCTGCTCAGCATTAAGGGCTGCATTTCTGCAGCACTGATTGAATAACTGCCCAGTGACATACGCAGATTTCCCCATGATTCACGGATTGTTCGCTCCTGTGGGTTACGTCGCCACAGCTGTATATCTGCAAGTATGGAAGACGCCACATTTGAAGAAGGATATGCTTGGCGACTTTTTCTGCCAGTCTTCTGGCTCCTGGATAGAGCATAGTTACCCCAACCCAGAGATCTGCACTTACTGCCATGTTATGCAAACCCTAACTGTTGGCTGTGGGCACCACCAAGGACCGTAAAACCCTGGTCCGTCGGCATGACTGCTGGTTCCCCTGGCAAGCCTCAGGCAGATGAAGAGGAACCATGTGGCTCCCCTCCATTTCTGCAGGGCTTGCCTAGGAGCACTTGTCAGTGGAGCCACATTCATCGGTACTGGGAGGGGAGGGGAGAGCGGGTGGGGGGACGCCGTGCTACTTCCCCCACCCCCATTTTCTGGCCTGGCACAAAGGGAGCTCACCCCCCCCCCCCGCTAAGAACCGAGCTGGCAGGGGGCAGTCGAGATGGCCGTGCTACTTCCTCCACCCCCATTTGGTGGCGAGAACGCTAACGAGTTGGTTGCCTACCAACTGCTCTGTGTGTGAGACTCTGGACCAGGTGAGCAGGAAACTGGATATGGGGGTGCTAGTTATGCCCAGAAACCTCTTGTGCTGGGGTGTTGTGCTGCATGCTCAGCATGACTGCCAGTGTAGCTGGGTGCCTAATTGTGATTGTCAATTCTCCTTTCATCCATGAAGTTCATGAAGGAAGCGTGGGCCAGTCACTTTTAACCAATCCTTCAGGGATGCTGTGAGGATAAAGGTGGGTGGGGAGGAGAGACCATGCCCCTCCTTGGAGGAAAGATGGCCTACATTAGGTATAACCAATTAAATAAATAAGATTCCCCTTAGTAGATTGTGCCAAGTGTCCCTCATTTTTCTCTAGTAAGGAATCATACAAGAAACTTCATGGTTTAATTACATTTATAGCCACCACATCAAAATTGGGACATAATCTAGTCAAGTGTTTTGAACATCTCACTGATTTCCACAGGGAAAGGGGCATGTGGTTAACTCTCTTTCTATTGTAATTGGCAATATGGTTTGTTTGCTTTAAAATTCCAATTTATATTTACTTTTTTTCCTATACACTGTATATGCAAGTTACAAATATGGTGCCTATTCTATGGGTTTTTATAAACATTTCTAGGGGAAAAATGTTATAATTTTACTCTCAACAGAACAATCCTAGTCTCAGATGTAAATTCCACTGAATTCAATTAGATTTACTTCTAGGTAAATAGGAAGGATTATAGACAATTTTTGAAAAGAACTGTTGTTGTTCTTAGCACAAGCATTTAAAAACAAACAAAGAAAACGAACAACAACATTCTTTTCTAAGTCTTCCTTAGCCTTTTAGAATTCTGGGAACTGAACAACAAAAATTGCAAAAATTTAAAAAACAGCTGTGACTTGCAATTTTTCACTTTTCCAAAGCAATTAAACATTTCAAAATGAACAAAAGTCAAATACATTTTGGCAAGACCAAAGTGTATGCCTCTGTTCTGATTTTGAAATCTGCTCTGCTTCCACCATGCAGAAAGAAAACTTTACCCCATTCTACCAAGCATCTTTCCCGCCCTGGGATTAAGTAAGTGAAATTTGCTCTGGGGGCACCTGAGAGCTTGCGAGGCTAAAGGCTACGTACCCAAGACATCTGTATCAGAAGAAAGGAAGAGGAGGCGAAGGTACAAAGGAAAGAAAATTGTGGGAAGGGGGGGAAGAAAAGAGAAGAGTGAGTTGGACATATTGGGAAGCAGCAAAAGATGTCCATAAAGTCCAATGCCATGGCAGCGAGAGGGAATGAAAACAGGGGCAACAGGTAACAAATAGTCCACCTACTCCCTTTTCACTGATTTGCAAGAGGCATTAAGGAACATCTTGTCTCCTCATGCATGGAGGTACAGACAATTTGAAATCTGACAATTTCTATCATCATTTGAAATATGTCCCACCATCTTATAACTTGGGACCATTTGCCATGTTATGCAAATGTGAGAGAGCTCTCATATGCACACCAAGCGTGCCACACCTCCATCCCAAGGCATAGAGATTTTCTTGTTGTAAAAACAGCCTTAATGCCCTGCTCAACAGCGCGATTGTGTAAGAGGAATTTGTCAGGGACGGTGAAAGAAGAGCTCATGCAGCACAACATTATGGGAAGTCCAGGGACATGCTGCAAAAAGTTTCTCTCGGCTGATACAGATCAGAGTGAGACAAGCAAGAAAGGATCAGAACTCCTCATGCAAGAAGTCAGTGCCATGCAGTCATGCAACCATAAAGTGACAATGTTCTCTCCTTCCCACTATGCCCACAGAAAAGACCCTGAGAGAACGTGTCCAAAGATGGCAGAGAGTCAAGTCTTTTCCCCAGGGACACAGCGCAGCCTTACCCAGGCTAGAACGGGTGCTGGAGCGCTCAATGATGGTGTGTTTGCTGGGGTTGTTGAGGACCGAGCGCTTGGCCAAGGAGATATCAGCTGTCACACGTGTGATGGATATTCTGTGGAAGGCAGAAGTGAATGGATGTCCAGGAGAATAAACTTGATTTGCTAGACATTCCCACCTAATTACTAGTGGGAATTAAATCCTGGAATTAAATCCTAAAATCCCCAGCATTTCCCAGCAAGCCATGCTGGGAATTGTAGGACTTTTTTTGGTCTAAAAATGATAAGATTGCACCCTCCGTGGAATGTTGCACCTATGCAGGGAACCAATCTATCTACCATAGTTAGCACAATAATTTCAGCATCCAATTCAAAACAAAAATACCCATGTTTCTAATCTTTATGACTTAGGAAAAGTTCACAAATCCAATTCTTTGTGAAGAAAAACTGCAGCACTTGCCAGTCCTTGTGTCCTAGAGAAGGAGGGGCAAAAAGGGAGGAAGGACAAAAGGCCCTTCTCCGGGAACCCTCTGTGAAGGATATTAGCAGGGTAAGTACTCGGAGGAGGGCTTTCTCTGCGGCGGCGCCCAGCCTATGGAATGCGCTCCCCAGAGAGGTCCGCCTGGCGCTGTCGTTATTTGTTTTTCGGCGCCAGGCCAAGACCTTTTTATTTAAATGCTATTTTAACTGTTAATGGTTTACTTGTTGATTTTAAATCAACCAGGCTGTTTCCACTATTTTTTTATGTATTTTATTTATTTGATGAATTTTTTTGTATTTTATATGGGATTTTAATGATTGTAAGCCACCCCGAGGCTCATGCGATGGGGCGGCATATAAGTTATCTAAATGAATGGATGAATGAATGAATGAATGAATGAATGAATGAATGAATGAAAGATGGTTCACAATCAGTGGGACAGCAGAAACTCTGCCTCTGTCCTATGGCTTTCACTCAGGTTTCCCTTGTAGCCACCCCAATACCCAGACGTGAAGATGACTGCAACACAAATAGACACCCTGAGGTTCCCAGTCCTGTCCAGCCCTCAGCACAACCCCTATCCACACAGCTTCTGCTCACACCTGCCATCAAATCGCCGCTTCAGGAAATCGAATAAAGCCTTCTGCATCATGTCTGTCACCTGGGGAGGTAAAAGGGGTGTGGGGAGGCAGGCAGCAGACAGAAAAGAGAGACAAGTCAGAATCCGAAGGCTGGCTTCTGTGTGGAGCAAGAGATGGAAGGAATGGATGCCGGAGAGGTGAGGGTGAGTGTGTTTAGGGCACTCCTTGGCGAGGACTCATCCAAGGGCTCTGGCCTCACATGTACTTCTTCAATCCCTGCAGCCCCTGTAATGCAGGTATATGAGGGACTAGAGCACATGCTAGAAGGCTCGCATCCACAGCTGGCTTTGGAGGGGGCCACCTGGAACTCATTCCTTTTCCTTCCTGCTGTGCCAGAGCAAAGATTCATGTAGGCTGGCCATGCTCTCCAACAGTGGCCAGCTTGCCCCAGGTTGGGAGGCAAGTTATTGCTGGTCATCACCAACAAGTCTGCACATGTGTGCCTGTGTGGGTGTGAGGGCAATTCAGTGAGGAAAGGTGGCTTGAATGCCCACCTCTGTGTGTAGTTCCAATCTGGATCAGGCTTCCATGTGCAAAGAGAACCATATAATAGTAGAGTTGGAAGGGGCCAGAGGGCCGTCAGGTCCAACCCCCTGCTGTTGCCGGGCACTAATTTACACTGACACAGAAGTTCTTAAAAAGTTAGGATCAGGTACACAATGTGTATCTAATGCAGCATCTAGTGTAGCCCTTGTACAAGAATTCCATGGTGCAGAATAACACCAGATATAAAGTTCCTCCGTCTGGGCAACAAGGCACCAGGCAATCTCTGAGAGCTTCAAACTGCTTTCTACCTGCCCAGTCTTGGAGCTGAACATTTGATTTCTGGTTTGACAAACTTTTCATACATTTTCCAGGATGTACTGAGTCATTATCTGTGTATGTATAGATTGAACTATGCACCAGATTGACTGCACAGACCAAAATCAAAATTTGGGACTACCAAGTGAAATATATGGTAGAGATGGCTTTTCGGCTTGCAACTACAGTTCTTCAAAATGGTTGTGAGATTCTCTATGAGTGAGAAATAGAGGATAAAAACAAACATATGCTGGTGGAGTAAGGCTGATGGATTTAAAAACTAGGGAGCAAGTGTGTGTGAGAGAGAAATGGAGCATGACTGCACAAATCCTCTAAATATCTGAGCAGTACTAATAAAAGATATTTCATCTGCATCTCAGCAGGGAAATGACAAAAGAAAGACCCTGCAGTGATTACACATCCCAGGCTTCCCCACTTACTTCACACGCATAATTACTAAACTCACCGCTGGGAACTGGGGCTGAGAAACAGGGTGAGGAGGCTGACAAAGGGATGGCCCTGGGAGAGGTGGGATGCAGGATCTGGGTTCGGAAGGACCACACTGGGAGGAACTGGAGTATGCCTGGACATCTCAGCCCAGTTGCCACACACATACATTGGAGTGGACTTGAATGTTGGATGGGGGGATGTGCACCAACCCTTGATGGCTCTCCTGAGTATGCTGAGCACCCTCCTTCCCTCCTTTCAGTTCACTTCTTCCTTGGTCCCCACCCCATGTTGTCATTCCCTCTCTACATGCTTACCTCATACCCCTTCAAGGACGGGCCTACAAGAATGACTGGCCGCATGGAAGGGACCACATCGTATGGTGGCACATGCTCTGCCTGAGAGGAAGTAGGACAGAAGAAGGCATTAGGCTTGCTCTAGCTCTACACAACTTCAAAGGATGCAGGGACGTGTCTTTTGGATTGTTGCAATCTCAACTATTTCCTGTCCCCTTAAGACACCCAACACCTTCATTTTGTGGGCATGGGGAAGGGTGCTGGGACACAGGTGGAAAGAAGGAGAAAAAAAGGCAGAAGGGGTCCTTAGGGAGCATCAGGGGCTCAGTTCTTCAGACCGAACTGTGACGCTAGCCTGAATGCTGGATATTCAAGATGAAAGTAACCTGAGACCTTTATGGTGGTCATGGCCAAGGTTTGCTGCTGAGTTCAGCTTACAGAAACAGGTACCAATATGGGGAAAGGCAATCACACACTCAACTTTGGGGTTTCAAGGTCATCCTCCCATGCTTGCTTGTTGCTCGGGAAAACCTGCTAGGGCAGTGGAGAAATTCTAGGAAACCACCACCATCTGTTCTGATATTTCATAAGCTTACTTACCGATTTTTGCTTCTGCTTGGCTATGTCCCGTGATCGCCATTAATGATTGGGATGGGGACGGGGACGCAGGGGATGGGAAGAGGGACAGGCAAGAGAAAAACAAACAAGGCATGCGTGTTACTGACAGCTCACTCCAGCGGAAGCAGAGGCAGGCACAGGAAGAACAAACAGCAACTAGTGCTGAGGGAAGCAGAAGGGCGGCAGCTTTTCGGAAAAGGTAAATCATGTTGGACAACATCCTCCAGTGCTTAATGGCTGGTTCTGAAATCCCCTTCTTTTCTCTATGCTATCCTGGCCCACCTTCATTGACTTACCCAGGCATGGTAACCCAAAGCCATGGACCACTCTAAGCTGGACGAACTGTTACTGAGGCAGCCACAAGCTGCATGTTACCATCTGACAGCCCGTCTGGTATTGCACGAGGTGCTCTGAAGGGGCGATGTGGTAATGAAGGGTGTTCTGAATCTTTCCACTGCAAGCCATTCTTCCCTTCACTCCTCCAGTGCTCTTGGAAACACACACAGCTGGCAGGGAAGGAGTTTAGCATTGCCTTCGCTATTGCAATGCTCCCCAGGCTGTCAGTATAACATGTAGTTCAGCCCTCTGATACTGTCTATCCTGCATCCTGAAATTGCTTAGCAACCAGACTCCAGATGTCTTCCTCCCACTCTCTTCTAGTTGGTCTCAACATGAAGGAAAAGGAGGGCCTGCAAGAACACATCCCATGCCAGGATGGACAGGCACTAGCACTGCTACTGGACCATTCCATATCCCTATTTCTGATATGGAGGAATGGTCCAATCCCGTGCTGAAATGTAGTGAACATGCTCGCCTATTTTTCACACTTGCTTTCCATCCTGGAATGTTCCACTAGAAGAGATGCGCTTGGGTGCGTGCGTGTGTGCACTGCAGTGGCAAGGAAGTGGATTGTAGAAATGCTCCACTTCTATAATCCACAAAGGGGAGAACAGAACAAATGGAGTGTACTAGTTGCACAGTTCCCATGGGAAAAACGATCAGAAGCTCTGGCTTTCAGGGGTTCGTACTGGGGAGACAGAGTAGGAGAAGGACAGAGCACCGCAGCATTCCATCCGTATCGCCCTCATGGGAGGAGCCATTTGATAACTGCATTCCCATGGTGCACAAGACAGGGGAACAGGTGAACAGGTGAACAGGGGCTGAGTGTTTTGGACCAATCTTTCACCAATGCTCACGTGAAGGCATGAATCAGTTGCCAATGCATCGTTTAACTCATACACATGCAGAGAACGAGTGATCACCGAAACATATCATTTTTGTGCCTTGTCTGCTTGCCCACGTGACAAACAGAACATGCGTGACCTCTCTGTTCCTCATTCTCCAACACAAGGCCGCACAGACTGGTCTTTCCCTAGTGATGTGCCAACTGCCTTGGGGCATCACCATCTAAGCCCGTTGCTTATGCCCTGGGTGCAGCTCTGTCAATGGGCGATCAGTGACCAAATGGGAACCCAGGACATGCCTCTCCAGGTGATTCTACCCAATGCACACAAGCGCTTCACCTTGGGCCAGAAACAGGCAGGCATAACAGGAGGAGATGGCAAGCAGGTGTGGGTGGGAGAGGCGCTATTACCTTCTTAAAAAAGGGGATGCGCTTGGTGGTGGAGGGGGGTGTGGTGACGCTGCTAACACTAGTCTTAGGGGTTCGCTGGTTTTCTTCGGCTGACGCATCCTCCTCCTCCTCTAAGTCAAGGGCGTCTGAGTCATAAGCTAAGTTAGTCATGTCCAAGTTACCTGGGAGGGGGATAGGGGGAGAAGGAAATAAAAGGTAGAAAAGAATAGGGGGAGAAACCCAACAGCAACAACTAAAGAGAGGAAGTGCAAACTGAAAAGGGCAAGAAAAACAAATGAAAGGGAATTACCAGAAAGGAAAAGAAAATAAACTTATCTAGAGAATGAAAGGTAAAAATGAATGAATGAATGAATAAATAAATGGAATGGACATTCAACTTTTAACAGTACATGGGCATCCTTATAAAGCCAGACATCAGGCAGTAAGAGGTCATTATGAGGTTACTGTGGGGACCTGACTATGGCCCGAGACTTAGGCTGGGTCTACATGCATGTACCAGACTAAATAATAGTGTCTTGAAGTAGGAGAGAAAACTGTAGCATTTCAGAATGTAGGTGTGGTAAAACTCACAATTTCTAAAAGAAACAACTGCCTTGGAAGTTAAAATAAATGAACTAGGATAGCAGGGGCTGTATTGGAAGCTTTTTCCTGCATGTTTTTGACTTGCAGGGAACTTAAAAAAACCCAAAACCTAATTCAAGATTCCCAAACTGAATGAACACAGTCTATTCTACCACCTCAGGATTGTACCCCTTCAGTCCGCTGCACCAGCATCTCCAGCTGTAAAATAAGCAGTGTCCTTCAGACGCTTCCAATCTCCTCATCCCACTAAGAAGGTTGGGAAGGCGTCCATCAGGGCTGGTTTGCGGTGATGGTAGCAACACCACTGGGTGGGAGCAGCCTTACCACTGGCAGGTGGGGTGGGTCTCCGGGGGCCTGTCACCACATCTCCCAGGCTGGAGGTGGAATTATCTCCCGATTTACTGCAAAAAGAAAGAGCCATTAAAGTCAAATAGATAAGGCAGAAGAGGCTGAGGAACCAGTTGGGAGCGAGCAACCTTTGTGTCTGGGCTCAGCGCCGTTTCATGAGTGAAAATATTAACTTCTGCACCATGATGGGCTTCATGGTCCTTGGACATACATGGGTGACACGGCATATTTATTTATTTATTTAGACAACTTATATGCCGCCCCATCGCATGAGCCTCGGGGCAGCTTACAATCATTAAAATCCCATATAAAATGCAAAAAATTCATCAAATAAATAAAATACATAAAATAAAATAGTGGAAACAGCCTGGTCAATTTAAAATCAACAAGTAAACCATTAACAGTTAAAATAGCATTTAAATAAAAAGGTCTTGGCCTGGCGCCGAAAAACAAATGACGACGGTGCCAGGCAGACCTCTCTGGGGAGCGCATTCCATAGAATAGAAACCAGTAAAAACACTAGCAACTGGCTGCCCTTTCATGAGACCCCAAATCTGCTGCCACGGCAGCCGCTTCACTCTGCCTGAAGCTAGGCCCAGCCTTGGATGGTGTGCTTACCAATTCTAACCAAGTGGCTCAGGTCCCCATCTGTGACATAACCTTTTTGTGGAAACTTCTGGTTTATCTATACTACTGATGTAAACAACCTGGAGAGCAGTCTTAAATGAACTCCACTGCCATGGATCCAGCACCCCAAATTGTGGCAATTGTAGGTTTCCAAAGGCATAAGGAATCATTCCTTAGCAGAAGAATTTATAGACAAACAGATCCCAGGAATCCCTGGCCAGGGTGAGGGTGGGGAATCCCAGGCTTGGCTCTTCAGCTGTGGTTTTCTGGGTTTGGCCAGACCTTGCCTAGGCCTTGGTTTTCCAGGGTTTGTACAGTTTTCCCCATTATTAAAAGCTGGTGTACCTCTCATAAGACTTAGTTTTGGGGAGGAAGAGCTTTAAGCTGCAACAGTATCTGATTCATTGTGATTTCAAATGATATCTTTGGAATCAGCTCTCCAGAGAAGCTCACCTGGAGCTTTCTTTACAATCACTTCAGCATCAGGCAAAACCAGCTTTATTTTCCGATTATTTTAATTACTAACTGAATAGTCCTGAATTAATTTTAAATTTTAGTTGATTGATTAAATAAAACAATACCATTGATGATTTATCCACTATTTTCCGATTATTTTAATTACTAACTGAATAGTCCTGAATTAATTTTAAATTTTAGTTGATTGATTAAATAAAACAATACCATTGATGATTTATCCACTATCCTGACTGAGGATAAATTTTGCTAAAATACTATGTAGCAGTCTTATTAGCATTAGTTTATGCTTTTAATAGTTTTTTAAAATATTTTAAATCACTATTTATGTATAATTTTATATAATATCATTGAATGTACACTGCCAGAGAATCCCATTTGGGACTATCGGATGTGGTTTTATAAATCAAATAAATCCATCAAATAAATAAATGAGCTGCATTTTTTGTATATTAGACCCACCCCTTTGCCTTTGGCTCCACCCCCTTTGCCTTGTGTCCATCCACCACTAGCATGTAGCCTCTGAGAATCTCTCCGCCTATTGAGTTTGCCCTGAAAGATGCTGAACTCCTCTGATGTGCTGCATCTGTTCACTTGCTTAAATAAGTTCTCCATGTTTGAAAGTTTTCTGCACGCTCTCCAAATGCCTTACTAGACCTTTCATGCCTTCAGTACATTTACTCCCTCTCTGCCCCAATCTCTTTGGAGGAAAGATAAGCAGTTGGCTTTATTCACAGGCAGGCATACGGTTCAGATAGCTCAAATTGTTCATAGAACGAGCACTTTTGCAAAAACAGCAGGTGATCGAGTACAAAAACCACTCCAACTCTCTCACATGGTGTTTCTCAGCTCCGTCCTTTCTCTGAGACATCCATGCAGCTGTCACCCCCACTTCCCCAATCTCACACTCCTCATCCTTGCAGAGTGAGTCATAAGTCTGTATGGACTTGAGATCTAGGAACTTGCCTTATTCTGTGTCAGGCCGATGGGCTGTCCAGCCGAGGATCATCAACCACAACCTGCGGCAGCCATTTCCTCAGGAAAGGAATGCCCCTATGTAGGGAATCTGGTAATGCAGGTACTGGGAACTTGCCTCCCTGCAGATGTTGTTGTACCCCAAATCCTATCAGCCTCAGCCAGCAGGGCCAGTAGTTGGGGCTGACAGGGGGTGTAACCTGACAACAACCGGAAGGCTGCTCCCTGCTCTACCTGAAAATGCCAGAGCTGAATTTGAGGCGTATTCCACACAGGGCAAGTGCTTCTCCCAGGCTGTGCCAGTCCACCGCATGGGGTGGAGGGTTCTCAGCAGTAGGGCAGCCTCTGTCTCCTCATCCTCGTCACCTCCTCCTATCCCACCTGGAGCTGAGCCGGTGTTGCCTCATCTTTTGCTCCTGTAGCATCCTCATGTTTTCCAGCTTGACGGGGCTAGGGATGAAGCCAACCTCACAGCCTTCTTTGACCAGTCGTCCGATCCACCAATCATTGTTGTATTTCTGGAATGGAGAGGGCAGAACCAAAAGCATGAGGCACGCAAAGCGGGTGGGGAGGAAGAGAGGGCAGTGACGCTGGTGTATCCCAGGAAGGCTGTGTGAACGTTTCTGTAACAGTGCAGATGGGAGAGAGATTCCCGTACCCCACCAGATCATGCATTATCACAGTTCAGAATCTACTGCCCTTACCTCTTTGATATGAAGGAAGTCTTTGGGTTCAAAGGAAATAGACATGCCTTGGACTGGCACATCATCATTGGGGGAAGGATTATAGCCAACATTTGTCCTCACAGCAAATGCCACCGGCTTGGTCTGTAAAGCAGACAAAAACAGTTTGGTAAGGTGGAGAGCACAGGTGAGGTCAGGTTGTATGGTGCCCAGCGTACAAGCAGAAGCCACCTGGAAACAAGGAGGAGCAACCTGCCTCGCTATTCCAGCTGCAAAAAGAGTCTTTAAGGGAAGTCGCCAAGTATCTTTCCATACTCAAGTAATGAGAGGGGAGAAACAGTTAGTGGATTGTTTTGAGACTGCACGTCTTTGAAGTTACATTTTCAAGCCAATGAGCCAGGCTGGCCTACTGATTTCTCTGAACAGGCTGGGCTGGCTGACTGAATGCCACTTCCGGAGGCTGGGAGGTACAGCCTCAATGTTTCTTATAGCTTGCCCTTGCCTGTGACATACAGTACAACAGAAATGACAGAAATCACTGAAATACATAGAATGAAAAAATGAATCATGCACGCTTTTATCATAGAATTAGCCTCGCTGGCACACTTATCTCAAGTTGGGAAAGCAGGTGGCATTTTAAAAAGGCCAGTTTCATGCTCTGCTCATCCTACTATCTGACTGTCGGAAAGACACAGGAAAGAAAGCTCCCAGCCGTTCCTGGCACAAATCCCACCTGAGGCAGGAAGGCTGCAGTCCCCTGCCAGGCCCCACAGTGAACCTGAGGCTGCAGTCAACAGAAAGTGACAAGGCACTCTGGTGAAGGCAAAGGATGAAACTTGCTGGCTGACAGCCCAGAGCAGAGCGCTTGGGATGCTCTCGGTGCCAACCACTCCCACCTGTTACGCCCCCCAGATCATCCTGGCAGCGAAGAGGTTGGGTCAGATCCCAGTGGCCAAAATGCCTCCAGCATCCTAATTGCAAGGCTGCTGCGGCAACAGGCGGAGCCAGGAATGGAGCCTGAATGGGGGGAGGGGGCGGTTAATTTGCTAATTGCATCTGTCAAAGTCACAGTATTGCAGGCAGACTTTTCCCCTCTCCCTCTCTCGAAAGGACAGGGTGGTTTGAAATTAAGGCCCAAATGACTGGAGTTCCCCCAGCCACAAGCAGGTGCTTAGAAAGCTTGCTAGGCAGTCAGTCCCACAAGCTTAGAATACTGCACAGTGAGGCTCCTTCACTCTGAGTGCAAGCCCAGCATGGAGTTTTGGCTTCCTTGCCACACTTTAAATAACCGCATTCCAACCATCACTTCCCTAAAGCAGGTCAGATCTGCTAGACTTGGTTCTGATGCTCTGTTTTTCTTGTAATGAATAAATCCCTTTTTTTATCTTTTTATTAATATATGCATTGTGTTTTGTTCTTAGTGCATCTGAAGACAACAAACACAGATAACAAAGAAAAAGCCAACTAAAGCAGAACAAAAATGTGACTAGGGAGAGCCAGTATAGTGTGAGAGGTGGACCTGGGAGATCTGAGTCCCGTCCCCACTCAGCCATGGAGCCCACTGGGTGACTTTGGGCCAGTCAAGAATCTCAGCCTAACCTACCTCACAGGGTTGTTGTTGTGAGGAGGAATTGAGCGATGTAAGCCACCTTGAGTTCCTCACAAGAGGAAAAAAGGCAGGATATAAATGCAGTGTAATAATAACAGCAATAATAACAGTGAGAAGAAGCAAGGGGAGAAGAGGAGGATGTGAAGCTGGCGCAAGGCCTCCTGAGACTGGCACGCACAGCTGCTGGATGGGCCTGTTAGCCATCATTTCCGCCGGGGTGAAGGCAAGTGGGCTGCCGCCAAGAGAGGGTGCAAACCTCTCCTATGCACCACTGCAGGGGGCTGTCGTCACTGGAATCAGTGTGCGTGGATCCGTGTGTCAGCTGCCACCAGGTGCCTTTCCCTTGACACTGTGATCGGGGGACCCTTCCTCAAAGCAAGGCAGTGGTGTGCAGATGGCTGCACAGGTGATCTGCAGAGTCACCTCCCTACCTTTGAGACGGAGGCATTTGGGTTGGGCAGGCTCAGCGGGGAGATGCACAGACACTCTCTTGCTAGAGCCACTGTGACTCCCCGGAGTGGCCACCTGTCTATGCATTGCTCTGAAAGGTACAGTGCAGGTGGTGTTGCTGGCACCAGGACCGCTGACATGGGTCAGGCAGGATTGGCTGTCCTTCCAGATTCAAGCTGATTCAAGAGGATTCGTCCCAACTTCTGGGAAGGCCGGCCTGGGAGAATGGTATATCATTCATAGGTTCTACTTAATCCTTAAGCTTTAAATTTACAGTTGTGCCACACAAGCTGCCTTTACATTCAGGTAGGCAGAGAGCTCAGAGTTGCTGATTCTGTCCTGTAGACAGGAGAGCAACCCAAGAACTTGTGGCATGTACTCTCATCTTTAACCAGGGATGCTTCCAGGCAGACGGCTCCTAGTGGTACCAAGGAAAATGCAGCTATTCCAACTTTCCCTTTTCCTTTCTGGTGATAAGAAGCAAGATGGAAGAAGCAGCAGGCAAGCACAGGAAGCTTACAAATTGAAGACTCCCCAGTTTCGATTGCCTCTAACATTCTGAGAATAGGGCAGTCAAATAAAGGCCCTGCCTGGAACTCCTGTGGCAGATACTTTGTCTCTTGCTGTGCTGAGAAAGGAGCTCACAGAACCGTGACCGTGTTCCTACAACTCTGCCAGCGCCGTTACATTTTAAGTCCCTGTTTTAAGTCTGATAAATGGGCTTTAACTGACTCCAGGCTCCTTTTCTGCTACTCCTAAGATGCCTACTGCTGATACACACAACATTTGAGACAAAGCGGCAGCGCAGGACACTCCGTATGAGGAGCTGAGAGAAAGGTAACGGCCCTGTCCGTCCGCTGACTGTCCCTCGGCTTTGGCAGTGCTGCTTTATGCAGGCAGTTCCCTTAATAAAAAGACACGACAGCCCAGGTTGATGCTGTGTTACCAGGCTATTAGCCAAATAAATTTGCTGATGCCTGGCCAGTAGGATCTGTGGGCTGATGCCAGCTGCAAAGAACATGACAAGAAACGAACTTTGTGGCCATCTCAGTGGAAATGGATGTGGGAGGCCTGGGATGGGCAGACAAGCCATTACTCCAACTGGCCCTGACTGAGCTTGATAAGGTCAAAGAGAAAAATAAACCTGGACGAGAAATGTAGGCACTAGATTGACAGTTGCCCAGAATGATCTAGAATCCACCTCACTGGAGGGAAAGGAAGCAAGCTAGGTCAATTGTTGGAGATTAGGCAGGGGAAAGAAAGTGGTTTAAAGAGAATTCTTTAACTGATACCTTGCTAGGATCCCATCATATGTGACATACAAGATGGAGACACTGATCTCCATTTTCTGGGATAAGAATAATTAAACCATGGAGTTATTCTAACCCTTTCTTTGGGCTGAATAGTTTCTGTAGCTTGGAGGCTTGTTTGAATTTGTTAAGGTGGGCAGATAATCATATCATAAAATCAGCCATAAATAATGCTCTGGAAAATGAAGGAAAAATGGGAGTGATGTCATGTAGTGCTGCTGCTTGACCTGCAGGAAAATCACATGGGTCCATCCTCATAAAGCCAGGGGGCACAACTGGGTATTCCTTTCCTGCAATTGAACTTCAAGTCACCTTTTGCAAAATCACATACACTTGCTGTTCTCTGTCTGTAAAGAACAGTTTTGGAACATTCTAGGAGAGACGTGATTCTCAAGTCTCCTGCACTCAAGCTGACCTTTGTAATTGTTTTGCACTTATCCCAAAGGTGTGGAAAGCAGCTTTCCACTCCGTTCCTCTGGACTATTGGATGAAATATGACAGAGAAAAAGACAAGACCCGAGCAGGAGTGAAGGAGGGCTGGTTGCACAACTGCACAGAACATGGGCGAGCAACCTGTTTCTTTTTTATGATCTCTGTGTAGTCTCACACATATGTGACCATTAGGCTAATATATCCGGAGGAAAGAGATGGAGTCCTCAGAGCAAAGTGTGTAAAACTGTTAAACTGATGGTCACGTCCATTCTTGTGCGTTCTTTGAGGGCACAACATCTGATGAAAGCTGATGGCTTGGGCCACGCAGCTGCCTTGCATAAGTCAGCAAGTACAGGACTCCCAGTACGTAGGTAGAGGAGGAAGCCAAAGCCCTAATGGAACAACCTTGACTGTGCCTGGTGTAGATTGTAAGGCACTTTCAGAGCAAGGTCAAGACAATCCCCCAACAGAGCCACTATGGTTGCATACCCTGCATTTTCTGTCAAAAAAGAAAAGAAAAGTGCTGTCTCATGTAGAGAGATGGCCAAAGGGTTCCTGGCATACAGAGTATTTTTATTAAAAACATGTGTAACAAGAAAAACTTCTCTTGGCACTGAAAAGACAAGACAGAAACCTGCAGATGCACATGGTGGGAGAGGAAGTCCAACATCCAATATCACCAATAAAAAGCCAACTGCCTAACTTCAGAAGGCAGAAGCACCTGAACAAGGCACTCCTAAGCTTATTTGAACCATCCAGCAGGTTTACATGGGATAAACCAGTCCTTTAGATACCAGCATCCTGGGCCATTGAGGGTTCTAAGGCAGACACAGGCAAACTTTGGGAGTTGTATGGCCACATTTGGCAATTTGAGAAACCTGTTCTGGGTACCACCACAAAATGGCTGCCATGGGAGGCGTGACAAAGAGCAAGCAGTGTGCCCCGAAGATTCTGCCCCTGCCAGGCGGAGATGGCATTTGAGCCAAGCACATTGAACACCTCCTTTAAACTCACAGTTTTTAGAACTTAAATGTATTTCAAAGCAATCCCATCAGTTGGAAAGAAACAGTCTGTATTCTTGTTTTTGTTTAAATTAGGTGAGTAAGCCACCTTGGGTGGGCACCAAGAAAGGTGCCTGCGAGCACAGAAATGCTGGCAATTATTGTAGCCCCTTTTAATTCTGCCATGACGTGTGCTCTACAGACCACCCCAGTTAACATGCTGGCCACTGCATTCTGCATCAGCTGACATGCCTCAAAGGCAACCCTAATCTAGCCTGGATGTTACTGTAGCATGGATTATAGTAGCCAAAACTTCCCTCCCCACGGAGAGATATCAGTGCA